CCCCCCCCCCCCCTGCCCCCACGGGTGGAATAAAACGAAAGAAATGTAGGAATCAATTGGGAAACCGATCTTTCGGAGGACTATCCGTATATATAAATCAAAAACTCGCTAAAGGAGTCACCTACATCCTGTCTGAAAACAAAAACATAATATGGTGTAAACTTGATAAAACTTACTTCAACTTTCAAAAAAGGATTTATACCCAGGAACAGTTTATTTAAGCCCACCAAACTATGAAAGAAATAGCAGCGAAGATTTAATTGGGGAATTAGAAGAAGAAATGTTTTTATTTTCACGAAAGGGTGACATAATTGTTCAGGGTGATTATAATGCACGAACGGGTGACATTCAGGAAACAGTCTTAGATGATGACAACGCTTTCCTGAATGTCCCTGAGGGCTACGAGAATGACGAACAACGCTTCAGACGGTCACAAGATTCAGGTACCGTGAACGCTAGGGGTAGCAATTTTTTAGAAACATGCACAGCGTTAAATTTACGAATTCTCAATGGAAGGATTGTTGGTGACCTGGAAGATAAAAAGACCTGTTTTCATTGTAACGGTAGCAGTGTTGTTGATTACGTCATAGGGTCAAAAAGTATTCTAAGGAATGTGCAAAATCTTATTGTTGACCATTAATGCCACATTTATCGGATCACTGTCACCTTTCATTCGCGATAAAAGCTAACTTTGTTAACCGAGATTCTTTTGAAACTTCAGCTGAACTCATCTTGACCTAATATAATAGGCTTTTCTGGAATATCAAGTCTAAGGACAGACAGATTTGGTCTCAAATCACAAACAGTTCAGTCCAGGTAAGAAGCAGCTGTAAAACATGATAGCATCGATACTGCGTCGGAATTAATTAGTGAAACTTGGGTAGAAGCATGCAAAGAAGCCGGATGGAAAGCGAGAGGCAGCAAAATTAAATGCAAATCACAAAACAAATGGTTCGATCTGGAATGCGAAAATTAAAAGAAAACTTGTAATCCCTTGGGTAGAAAATTTCTAACAACACTAATAAGTCAGAACTGAGTCAACTCCTGCGCGACAAAAAGAAGTTCAAACAAACTTGTAGACTGAAGAAACGGGAGTCTATCAGCAAAGGCATGTCTAATATCGATATGCAGAACTCCAAAGAGACCTGGCGACAAACAGGAAAAATCTTTAACTTAGGAAAAAGAAAAACAAGTGGAGCTGAAACAGTGAGTACGCAACAGTTTTATAAATACTTCAAGCAACAGAATGCGACCCCTCTCAATAATATACTAGATCAGGAGACGAATATGGAAACCCACAGTAACGAAAGAGTGGAAGGCCCAGTTGATTAAGCTTGATTGTCCAATAACTGATGAAGAGTTCGAAGCTGCAATTAACAAACTGAAGGCAAACAAATCTCCAGGTTTCGATAATATATTAAATGAAGTAATAAAAATCGGAACTGACGCCATTAAAGAGCATTTAGTAAATTTATTTAATCGAATAAATCCTAGACGTTTTAATATCCATGTACTCAAATGATAAATTGGCAGACGAAATTGATAACAAATTAACCAAATTCTTTACTTGTCATGCCGGGGTAAAGCAAGGTTGCATGTTGTCACCTACTCTTTTTAATTTCTATCTAAGTGATCTACCAAAATTCCTAAATAGGGCGAGTTCAACCGACATTATGCTAAGTGAGAAATATATAAATTGTCTCTTATATGCGGACGGTCTAGTGATCTTCTCTAGATCAGCAAAAAGCCTTCAAATAATTCTTAATAAGCTTGAATCTCTCTGTGAAAATGCCGATTTAAGTGTAAATTTAGACAAGACAAAAATTATGATTTTTAATTTACTGTGGTAAGACTTTAAACAACTACTTGTTCAGATACGGCCTTGGTGAACTGGAAAACGTCAAATCCTACAAATATATTGGACTCATAATGAGTCCTTTTGGAAACTTTAATCTCGCTAGGCAAGAGCTGAAGAAATTTGCACCTAAAGCACTCTATAAATTACGAAAAGAGATGGGAAACCACTTCTATTCAGAGAAAATATAAAATTAACGATGAAGTTATTTGATGCACTGATATCTCCCATACTCTTTTATGCGAGTGAAGTGTGGGGGATTGATTGCAATGGACAATTAGAAAAGGATCCGGCAGAATTAGTTCAAAATAAATTCCTAAAGTGGTTGCTGGGAGTTAATAAATACTGCAATAACAATGCTAGCAGGGCTGAGATAGGAAGATTCCCAATGAGAATTGAAGCCTTGGCAATGTAGGAACTTTCAGTTCTGGTTAACCTTAACCAAAAATGAAAACAAATTATCCCAAATAGCATACAATGACATTAAATGGAATGAAAATAAAGCTCTCTGGAGCAAAAAAATCAAAAGCTTGGAACAGATAGGATTAGGAGAACTCTGCATGAAAGCACATGCGGACATAGGACATAGGTAAACATGATCAGGCAACGACTTAAGGTGACTCGACCCAGTTTTTTTGGGGGGGTACCATCCTAGTTTGAAGTTCTCTGGTATCCCCGTCTTTACTTTTATCGTAAGTCTAACACATAAAATGGATAACATATAGATCAATCTACAATATAACATAAAATTTTTGGCGATCGGAGTAAATGTCACGTGGTTATAATGCCACGCCCCCTTGAGGTCTGATTCGAAATTCTGCTTTTGGCGGCATTTTTTCGAGAAAATCTCTCGGCTACCCATAGTGCGCATTAGTGCCTTGCGCTGAACAGAGTTTCACCAAAATCGCAAAGACCCAATTCGAGAAATTCAGCGGTTTCCAAATTTAGGTCATAATTTATGCGAAAATGATAAGCAAACTTTACACGGATTATATCTAATAAACTATGAGATTCATCCCTTTATTTTGGGCATCGTTATAACAGATGGGTCCTTGCAAGTCAGCAAAACGCTTTAGGGCCTTGTAAATGCGCGCGATTTCGAGCAAAGCAAACATATAGAAATTATAGTTTTCGCTATTTGTTGACGTTTGTCAGCGTTTAAGAGTCCTTCTCACGAAAAAGCATTTTCTTAAAAA